TAGACCAGCTGATCAGGTGGACTGTGCACTCCCTGACCGCGAGCCCAAATCTATAAAAAATTTTTTGTGAAGCAATAAGAAATCAAATTATAAGGTAAAAAGTGACACTGGAAGTTGCAGAATGAGCTCGAATGGAATACCTTGACAGATTTTCCGGGTCTCAAGATGAAGTCCCTTGGAAGTGTATAGACAATTTCCCGTTTTCCATCGATCTTTCGTTTCAGTTTCCATTCACCAACTGCTTCCTCCTTGGAACGATGAGTGTTCTCCAGCACAATGTATTTACCATCTGGAGCTGCGTCCTGAAATTTTAATTCTGAATTTTTGCCTAATTTTCTACGCATGTAAACCCTGAACTTTGTAAAGAAAAAAATTGAGGGATGTCTGCAACAAAAAGCGGATATATACCTGTATGGAAACGTTTCCTTTGGCGGAGCGTTGGAATGACGTACGACTAGCTGTTTCACCTTTCAGCACACGAAGACTCTCTGAAAATCAACACACTTCCAATTTTTTCAAGACATTTAAGCCAGCACGTTTAGGAACTATTACGCGGTAAAGCCAAAAGTAAGCGCAAAAACAAAAAGCTGAGAAAAGACTCGATGTAATGGTACTTTTAAGGATCTTACCATAGGGAGTGCGAATTGATGACATCTTTTTTGTAATATTTCTGTGGCTTTCACAAGCGCAGTGGAAGGAGTTCAAAAGGCACAGAAAACACAATGAACGTTCAGTTGCGGTAAAAATGGCACAAGAAAAAAAAATAAAAACAAGTTTTGTGATGCGAAAGAGGCCCTCAAGTACCTACAGTCAAACACTGCTTTTTTCTTCATGCTTAGTCAGCGTTCGATAAAATTTCTAGAAGACGGTTTTTGGGGAAATTGTTTAAATACTGAAAATTTACACAGCTGTGGGTAAAAATTTTCATCTAGCAAAAGACCGGAACGGAACTAGCGTGTAAAGCGCAAGTAGAAATCTTCAATGTTCTGCTCTAAGTACTGAAAATTGAAGGTTCCGCTAAGGTATAATAAAATGTAAATATGCAACTTAATGCAGCAAAAAATTTCTGTCCAGTAATTTTTATTTTTTTGCTTCCTTCATATTTTGCTAGCTTTTCACTTCGATTTAATTATTGCAAAGCTCAAGGGGCCAAAGCTACTCCTGCACTATTTTATCACGATTCCAACCAATTTTTTTTAAGATCCGTTCATTCGTTTCGATGGTAAATTGGTACTGGCTCATGTCAAAGAATCAAAACCGCCATCAACTTTCTTCTAAGCGTTCTCAATTTAAGGAATATTGACAGCTTTGGCAGCTTATGACTGTTTTTGGCGTATGCTGAGCAACATTTTGTGCCTTCGTCTTTGCACAGAAGGTAAAAACAAGAGTTTTGACTTTTGACTTTGATAAACCAGGACAGAAATTAATATCGTTAAACTGTGAAATGTACTTTTAGAGGTGTGCTAAAAAGCGGAAATCGTTTTGCACTTGATGAAGTGGCATGCTTTCATTTCCAATTTGTCTTCCTTTTCAGGAACTCCTCATTATATAAAAACAATAAAGGAAAAGAAGCAGGCAGTAGGAAAAATTTCAGTAAAAATGTTAGGTAAAAGTTAAAACTCCTTTCTCAGCCTCCATATTTTACTCTTAGCAAAAGCCGATGGAAGGTATTCAGAGGTATTTCGAGTAGTACCATTTCGTCAGAGGCAACTACCAATTCGTAAAGCTGCCGGTGGCACTCGCTTCTGTTTTATACTCTGTACAGTTTAATACAGAAGAATGTTAGGAATTCCTTATTATTCCTTCTTATTATTGCTGAAAATTCGATTTTTTTCCTTCTCCCTTCTTCCCTAATTCCTCCGTCGTCCAGAAGTTAAGGGCACCGTTATAACTAGCAAAAACAACCAAGCCTCTGGCGGGTGATAATTTGCACAGGCTTTTCTTATGCGCTGTGTAATGGTATGCTCTAGCATTTCTTTTTGTCGCTTAGAATTCCTCACTGATTTGTTTTTTTATAATAATTTCGCGTTACTGTTTTTTTTATCAAAAAAAAGTTTTTTTCAAAAATGCTTTTTCTGGAACAGCACCTGAATGATCTTTTCCACAAAAAACCCCAAATTTTAGTCAAAAATGAACCACCCACGTTGTATACCATCGGAATTGACTGATAGCGCGAATGGCTCAAT